GTTCTTCGCAGACTGCTCCTGGAAAACACCTTACGTCATAATGATTGAAGAGCCACTTGGAAAAGCTCGAAGTTTTGTCCCATCTCCCCAGTGCACCGCGCAAATTCTTTTCGTGTACTTTTTTTACCATTTTAATTGCTGTTTCATATCGTTGTTTGCCACACGACATTTTTTTGCAGTTGCTTCTGTTTTTGGTTTTTTTGCTTGCTCATTTTGTAGTGCCAACAGGACCAGTGAGAGTAGCATGGCCGTAAACCGCTAAAACAATTACAATTTAGCACAGTGCGTTGCAAGCACTATTACACACAACCAGAACTACGCAGTAATTGAATATTTATTAATCTTCGATACAATCGTCGTCCTATAAAAAGGCATACAAAACAGTGTCGGGTATACGTACAAAGGTAATCAAGTGAACAATTAATGCAAAAACATTGAGCGACTCCGATACCGTAAACTGGATCACTTCATTCAGCCGTAAAATCCACCCATATAGGAACCTACTGCTGCACCTCTCATAGCTCCACCTACAGCGCCAAGCAATCCACCTGAAAAGTGCATCATGAGACTTAGCAGCCTTGTGATTATTTCCAAAAATCTATGATTCCAAGGGGAACTATACAACCTACTCCACTGCCGAGTACCGTCTTTACCATGTGCTAGAAAAATGGGTTGGAAACTGCGCAAACTGCACTGTCGCCTTGAATGCGCGGAAGTGAGGTTGGGCGATAATGTAGTCTTAGTGTGCGCAAGGTGCAGCGCTAGCATATATACAACAATTCCGCACCGAACCCTCAGTTGTGGGATACAACAACCAAAAGTGAGATTGTGTAGACAAAGGGCTATGGTTGGGAGTGTGGCTAGTAGGCAGAATTCCGGACTGCACTAGGTATCACTACAACTAGACTACGATCTAAGTAGAGGAGTTTACAGTTTGGCTTTGCTGTTCCTATTTTTCTCTTAGTTTTTCTTCTGGGTTGGGCTACTTTCACGAGAGCTCGTTTGAGCAAAGTGACTGAAGAGGCAAGCTCTAGTAAATAACACTTACCTATAAATAACACTTACCTACTACACTTCCCAGACCGCTTCTTCTATATGGATAAAATCCACCGAATCCGCCATAAGGGGGGTATCCGAATCCGCCCATACCCATAGGTCGGTATCCGAATCCGCCCATACCCATAGGTGGGTATCCGAATCCGCCCATACCCCATGGGTATCCACCATAAAACTGAGCACTGGATAACAACGTCAACTGAATTACCAGGACGAAAAGAACAGTCGCTTTGTTCATTCCTGGAATGAATATTAGATTATTCTACATGTCGTACTTATAAAACTGTGCCATGTGCATGAAAATACACAATAACGGGGAATTTAGGCTTGAAATCAAGTTAATACGTTGACGACCGTGTCAGACAATGGTGGGCGTCAGCCAGTCTGTCCCATGGAACGATGTCAGACAATGCTGTCCGACAGTATACTGCTCTATGATAAATCTGTGCAAACAATCGAGTTCATTGAATTCGTGTCCCCAGGGCTAGCTTGACGCTCTGAAACGAACACCACCATTGTTTGACATGAACCACCTAGCGCCCGTGCCACAGGCGCAGGCGCCAAAATACTATAAATCACCAAATAGCTGAAAACTTGTCTCCTGATGTAGTTCGACCCCTTCGACATGTATATCGCACTCGCTTGCCATGATACTCTCTGGCGCTCGCGCCATAGGCGACGGCGCCAAAATACTATGGGCAGCAAATTTGCTGAAAACTTGGCTCTCGCAGTCCGACACCCTGAACATGAGTATCACAGCTCCTCAACGCGAAACTGGCTAGCATTCGTGTTACTGGCGCGGCATGAGATGCATGCATTGACCAGTTGCATGTAGCGCGGAACTATTACCATTACTATTATATATTATTACCAGTCGGATCGCCCGGCTAACGCCGAGCTCTCCTCCTTCTTGGAAGCCCGGCTTCGCCGGGCTCATGCAACTCGGTCCGAAGAG